TCCAAGCTCAGGGAAATAGAACAGCAGGAAATAGCCAGTTATGTAGCTAGAGATGCTTGAATTCATGCAAGATTAGGAACAAAAAAAATAATAATAAAAAAGGAAACATTGCTCACAAATCACCTGTTATTCACAGATTAAGTAAACCTCAAATTCTGTGCAGTCTTGCGCTAGAGTCATTGGTTCTGTGACGTTTAAGAAGGTTTGTTTTCATTTCTTCAAATATCAGCTTTATTAATTACCAGTTAATTACCAATTAAAAATTCCATACAAGTTGATTTATAGATAGGCTCATCCAGTTGTCATTCATTTTTTTTAGTCTCATATATAGGGAATACTGCTATTTTAGTGAAAATTTGTGTTTGGTTCTAATAGTTTGCCTTTGGTTACAGATTTCTTTTTTATGAAGTACTATTTAGGCTTCTTGTAGTATTTTTTGTTTTCTGGAAAGATCATGGCCAGTGCATTGTGAAGTGTCTTTGCTTTGCAAATATATAGAAAATGCAATATTTAATTAAAAGAACAAAAGTCTGTTAATTCTCTTAAATGGAAACCCCGCAGAAGATACCAGAACACAGAAGTGTCCCAAAGCTTTCTGGCAGTTCAAAGAACCAAAAGTCAATGAAATCCAGAAACCTGAATAATTGTGCTTCTATATACAACCAAGAAAAAAGAACGAAGTGAATAAGGTGTAAATGCTAATGAGAACAGTGTGCAATTAATTTTGCAGCTTTATTTTTGTGGTATATTTTGCAAATACTTTTCTCAACAGTATTTTTTTTAATACTAGGATTTAATCTAGGTCCTCTGCACTAGGGATTCTTTGTTGAGGCATTTTGAGTGCTTTGTATTATCTTAGGAGTCAGTTTGGGTTGGAGAGTTTGTTCAGCGATATCTATGAATTGATGCTGTTTTCTTTGTTGAGAGAGAGGTATTCTGCTTGAATCAATTGTCAGGAGGCTTAATGTAATAAGGCAGTTTGTGGTCTGACTAAAAAGAAACACAGTGCAGAAGAAATTCCCATAGCAGTTTCTTTTAACAGAAAAACTGAATTCACCTGAAACATGAATACATTGCAGAGTGAGACTTAAATAAGGTAGAGCAGCTTTAGAAAGAAACAGAGCGGATTGCCATTCAGCACCTGCCTTGTGATGGCTATGATTTAACTCAAAGCTGCGTTAAATGATAGTATAGCCCTATCAGGCTCCGTGTTGCAGCAGACTGTGGGCCGCACTGACATTCCACCCTATGCTCAGTGGGGAAAAAAAGCAGTTAAAATAATGTGCCCTGTTCCATTCCCTTTTTTAATTTGCAGGGTAAAAGTTGGGTTCCTCACTCTCCTATTGTATTTTAGAGGCAACAAGACACTTTTCCACACATTTCCAGGGTTCATACAATAGAGAGTTACCCTCCTGCCTGCCTTACTGAACAGAGACCTGATATTGATTAGCTATCACGCTAGCATCAGAACTACTCTTAGGATTCAATTTTTTTGTTGTTTTGCATATTTTATTGATCAAAAGTGGTAAATGAGCATCAAGCGTGCAAGAAGACGATGAATTGTTTACTTGCATAAAATAACCTTTCAATAGGGGAAGATGCATTGCTCACACTTTTGGTGCTGTTCTGCTGCCCGAAGCAGATGGCATTCAGCTGCTATTGATTTGCTCCTATAGTTACAGAGCAGCATGTAACAAGGCATGCTCATTTTGCTGAAAGAGAGGTGAGTTTTTTTGATGGGGTGGTGAGAGTGAAAAAGGAAGGGCAGTTTTTTCTTCTTTTTTTTTTTTCTTTTTTTAAGGGAAAACAAGGAAAACCTTCCAGCTTATGCTACTGGTTCTGTTTAAACAAAAAGCAGGGTCTGTTTGCTTGCGGAGAAGGGGAGAGTTAATTTCCCTAATTCTGGAATTTCTGGAAACATTAATTCCTACTAAAAATAATATCTACTGCAGATCGAATTCACGAACTCATCACTATTTAGGATTATAAAAAGCATCCCGAACTCAGTTTCGCAAAATTTACACAGCAGCTCTCAGCTACTGTAATTTTTCCTTATTCATAGCTTTGCCTAGATGGGTAAAGACAAGATTCCTGAGCGGGACAAAATCATAGTGCAGTATGCTGGGCTGGACTCTACAAACAGATGATTTCACTGATGAGTGAAGAATTTGATCATTCTCCATCAGATCTCTCCTATAAAGTTAGGGGCAGATGAAAAGGCCTTTGAAAGTTCACTGAAAAGGGTGGTTGATGCAGCATTTTGGGACTAAAATTCTACTGCAGGAAATTTCTGATTGCTTGACAGATCCTAATAAAATGTAGCTAAGCAAAAACACATTGTGAAATAGACAGCTGCAGTAAACAGAGCTCAGGAATACACGAGTGGTTGCTGTAGGAGGAAGCGTTTTCTCTGGCTGCTCCGACAGCAGTGAGGGTTCCAGTGGCTGCTCGTCCTGCAGCGCCCGCACGCAGGGCGGTAGCGCAAGGGTTAACACACACACACAGCTGCTCTATAGGAAAACTGGACTAACTGGATATTTTGGGAACTCGAATATCAAATATTAAAATCTTCCTTGTCCCTCTGACTGTTGTGCAGCGACTTCTATTGCTGGAAGAGTTTGCATTTTTCATTGGTTACTGTTCCATCTCAAGCATCTCCCTGCTCTGATAGTGTTCGACAAAGCAAAATAATTCACTCCGTTATACCTGGCTTGCTGTCCTTTGTGCCATTTATATTCCCTTCTTTAGCAGTGTAAATAATGAAGGAGGTACGACTCAAACTTACAGTATCAAAACTTTAATTTGAATGTGTACATTGCTGATCGTTAAAGTCGTGCTTCATCTGTTCAGCCTTCTCTTTTTCTTCGATATAGCTTCCAACTTGCTTAATTCATGAAATGGAAAGTTTTTGCATTTCAAAATAGTAGGATGTCACTAAATCTCAGCTGTTTGTTTCAAATACTTTTGTAGCATAAAGGAGTATGAAAAGATTGTCTGAATCTTTGACCTTAATTTCTTGGCTTGAATACAAAGTAGAAAAATATACCAAAAAAGGTGGGGTTTTTTGTTTGTTTTTGTTTTTTGGATTTTTTTGTGTGTTTTGGGGGAGTTTTTGTTATTTTTTTTCTGAAGAGAGCAAATCTTGGTAGCTTTCTAGAAAACAGATGCGTTTGAATTAATGGCTAATGCTATCAGAGCAGCACTACTGCATTGTTATAATTGACTGGGTCTTACTCTCCAGGGGAACTAGGGGAATGTTTTAAACATAAGAATTATTATAAACAGAAGTTAATTTAGTAAGATCTAAAAAAGCCATATGCTTCTTAAGGGGATTTTCTGTGTTATGATGATTGTTTTCACAACTTAAAACAAATATATTTTTGTTCCATTCCTGTGATGCCTGTCTATACTGTTACAATTGACTTCTGTTTTGCGCAAACCATCTGTGTCTCTCACTGAGTTTACAAGTGGTTGAGACTTGTTTTGTGCTTCTTTGCCCTAGGGTAAGTGGCCATGCCCTTGGGTAAGTGTTGAGTCTGGAATGAGGGAATCACAGAGTAAATGGTTAATATATGAACTATTCAGCAACAAACAAAACTTTTTTTTTCTTGTTTTTGCTACTAAAGGTAAGTAATTGTCTTGCGGATGCAACAGGTATTAACGTTTTTTCTTTTAAAAGGCAATTAAATTTGATGTGAGCTTCTGTGTTTTTAAAGTTAATCATGAAAATTTCCTTACAGCTACCCTTCCCACATTGCAGGTTCTAGCAAAATTGCCTAGAGCCTTTATTTGACAACGCATTGTTTTGCTGTATGGGCTACTGCTATGTCTTTCTCTCAAAAAAAGTGGTTAATGCATGCAAATCTAAATATATTGTGTCAGTTAAGTTAGGTTGCCCCTTTTTTACCTCTGCAGAAAGGACACAATGATTTCATTAACCCCAAGGGCCGGGAATTCCCTGGGCTTTCTGCATTCTCTCTGCGTTCTGACTCTGGAGCAGCTACCTACTGCTTAATCTAATTAGTTTCAAAGGGAACATCCAGTCATTTCTCAGGAGTTTACTCTGACCCAAAACCTCTGACAAGAAAATATTGGGGAGACAGAACAAGAAAAGTTATTATAGGGTTGAATATCATTTCACATGAGGAAATCGTCTTAGGAAGAACATGATTTCTGGATTTTGGACATGACATTTGTGTGAAATTGTCATTCTTGTGGAGAGCAAAGCTGTTTTCATATTTCCCTTTATTGGGCTTAATTTACCACCTGGCTCTTTCCTTTTATCCAGCAAGAGCAAAAATACAAATTAGAGCCATGAGACATCTTTCTTAAGGAATTAAAAAAAGAAAAAAAAAAGGCTATTTCAGGGCTGTTCTTAAGTCTTCCTTAGGTCTTTAAATTCTTTGGGATTTTTGTGGGCTTTTTCATTTTGTTTTAAGCTTGTTGCTTGACCAAAGCCGCATTATTCAGCCAAAAAATCTGACATGAAGCCCAGCATCTGCGTCTGAATGGAGTGGGCCGGGTTGTAGCGCACTGGAATAGGGCTCATCCATAGGGTGGCTCCGTGGGGGCCGGAGCAATCCGGGGATGCCGCAGCGCTGCCCCGCGCTTGCTGCGAGCGCTGGCGGGCGCTTCCGCGGCGCTTGGCGCTTGGTGCAGCGAGCTGCAGCTGGGCCCTTGTAGCGCAGCAGCTTCTTCGGGCTTGCTCATGGGGTTCCTCTTCACTAAAGACCATTTACCAGCACTGCAAATGTAATAGATAGAAAATGTGCCTGTACTGGAAAAACATACTCTTTATGAAAACAGGCTGCAGTTGTTTTCAAACCCTTCTCTGAAATGCAGCATAATTAAGAGCAAGAGTGATATTTTGAATATATTTTAATGTCTAGAAGTTAAGCATGAAAATACTTAAAAAAAACACTATAGTTACTCTGCAGCTAAAATAGTCTCTACCAAATAACTTTTTCAATGAAGTGTGGTTTTTTTTTTTTTAATATATGGTATAGCCTATCTGCACAACTTGCAGTAAATTAAACTTTTGCTTCACTTTTGTTTCACATTGAGACATATATTTTCTCTCAAATAATTTTTATTCAGTACAATTAAAAGAAAACAAATGACGTTTGCCTTGAAATTATGTTTTAAGATCTCTTGAAACATTTGTTGCCCTCCATTAACTACCTTCCGTTTTATCCTTACTTGGTGCTAATTTTATTTGGCCTTGCCCTTTCATGGGCATATTTCTACAGGAAGACTTCTCAGAGCTGGGAGTGAGGGAGAAGGGATGGAGGGTCCCCCGCATCACCGCTGCCGCGCCTGACATGGGTCTTTCCTCTCTCCAGCCATCTTTTTCAGTCTAAAAAGTCCCCCCTTATTTTTGTTGTTGTCATTTTTCTTTTAATCTGGAACTCATTTGTGCTTTGGATAATCCTCATTGTCCTTCTCTGAACTCGCTCCAACTTCACAGTCTCCTTTCAAGTAGTGTTCAAAGTAGTGAGCAAACCAGGAAATCAGAAAATAGTGTTATGTGCTCTCTTTTATTTTGATTCCATTTTTTAACAATTTCTAGTCTTTTTAATAATGCTTAATAACATTTTGCTAATTTCTAATAATTTATTGATTCCTTGAATAATTTCTAATAAACTTTTTGTTTGCTTTTAATTACTGCTTATTAAGAAATGTTTATTTTCAAAGATCTGCTGAAATCCTCCGCACCTCAGTGCTCTGACCACTAATATTCAGCCCCAAACCCGTAACTGTGTATGTTACATTTTTCTGTGTCTGCATCACTTAGTGTTTCTCTCACTGAATCTCAAGTACTATTTCATCTCTCATTACTGAATCCTGTAAGATTTTTCCGCATTTCTTTGCAGTTGACCCTTCTCTTAATATAAGTAATTGGTATTGTTGACAAATGCTGTTACCTTATCGCCAAATTCATTTTCCATGTGGTTGATTAATGTGTTGAGCACCATTAGTCCCGGACAGATCTATGAGCAGCGCGACTCCTACCATCTCTCCCCTGCAGATGTGGGCTGCGTGCGCCCATGCTGTGCTGCACGGCTGCTAGTCTTCTTCAAAATCAGAAAGTCCCTGTCCCTTGTGGTTCCGTTCTCAGGTCTGGAAGTGGCTGTGAGAAGTGCATTATACAGCACTTTGCCTCAGCAAGTTCCTCTGCAAGATGCTCTGGCCCCTTTGGAGGGATGTTGTGTGGTCCCACTGACTGGTTCTTGCTGAGCAAACAAAGGAAACACCCTCCTGTGTTTCATGACTTCAATTAGAGCAGCCTCTGATGAGGCTCCACGCACAACAAAAAGAAAAGGAGAACTATGTGTTTGAATGCTGAGGGTGCGTAGTTTAAATCTGGCAGTGATGACTGCTAGAAGGGTTACCGCTCTTTGGAAAAAACAGGAACCTTCACTGAAAGCCCAAATAGAGAGAAACATCATTGGGGTTAAAAAGACACTTGAAAGCTTGGAAAAAGCTTATTGCTCACCGTTCCAGGAATAGCTTTGCTCGCCCTGAAGCAGAGTACGGGTTTGTGAGGGCATTACCTGCTCAGACTGCCGCAGAGTTTTGTGTCGTTGCTTGCTTCCCGTTAGACCTCTGCCTCATGCTCCAAGACCAGCACTGACAGAGGACAGTGTCTGATTGCATGAAAAACAAAAATCTGCTGCTTTCTAAATTTTCCTAATTTGCAACGTGAATAATTTTCTTTCAGCTTATTTGTATGTGATATATATTTAGCTCTTTTAAGCTTTCAAAACTTTTTTTTAAAAAAAAAAAAAAAAAGTACTACTCCTGCTGCACCTGTTTGGTATCAGCAGCAATATTGAATAGGCTTAATTACGTGTTAATTGTTCATGGTCCTAGTGGTCCACTGACTTTTAAAAAGCCCTTCCGCTCAGCCATTTTAAAATCAAGGTCTATTTTGGTCTATTTTGGTGTGTGTCATCAATACACTGCTTCCTCAGTGTATTGCCTTTTCCTGTTAATTATTTTTAAAAACATTTCTTGTCCTTGCTAAGCTTTTTTTTTTCCCCCATACTGCTTTTTTGCTTCTGTTCTTTTCCTTTTGCTGTGCTGATTATTTCATTCTGATTGCAGTTTTGTCTTATCCTCCAATCCTTTGACCAGTGTCTCCAGAAACTATATTGACTGCTTCTGTCTTTAATTCTTGTTTTTCAAGGGAACATTATGTTCACAGTTTTTGATTTTTTGTATTTTTTGTAATATTGTTATATTTTGTCTGTTTCATTTTTTATAACAAGTGGGTTATATTTGGCCTCAAACCAATCAACACAAAATGGAACTGTAAAGACGTAATTAAGTAACCCTCTAAGTAAATAAAGTTCTTATTACCTGTAAATTTAATGGGTAGTATTTTTAAATCAAAGTGAGTCAAGTGCTCTAAGATTAGGTTAGGTAAGTCTCAAGTGAAAATGTTAATAGCTTATAGTCACTGTCATCAAGTTTTATGTATATTTTTAATGATTTAGTAGTTATTTACCTCTTGTGGAATAGGAGAATATTATGAAACAGGCATTTGTCACACAGGAGCTATCTGATGAGTTTAAAGCTCAAGTTCACCGAAAGTATAATAAAGCAGTTGGATAGTTGTGTTTTGGCATGTAACACCTACACGAAAGTCCTGTTTCTTTCGAAGCTCCCCTGTGCAGAGGGTGCTCCCTGCACCCTCTATAGAGGGTCTTGCCTTTGGTGTGTGAGGTCAGGAGCGTTAGCAAGCTGCTACGAAGGAGCATCGCTTCCTCTTTGCTGTGTGTGTTTTCATGCTTATTGTGTCCTTGGCTGGTAACTTTGTTCTTCCAAATTCACGTGTCAGTGAAGCTCTCCGATGGTAACAGGAACGGGGGAGCCTGTACTGTGGTGATCTAAGTGATATGTTTAGAAATTCTTGCTGATTATGTGCAGCATTCTCACTAAAGAAGTGGAGTCAGTTTCTCCATTGTTTCTTTGCATTATATTGCGTTATTTCTTCTATTTCTTTTTTAGGAGTTTAAAAAAAAAAAAGGCAAGCTTGCTCTCAGACATCTGGTACCTTCATCTACTGTGCTTGGATTTTAGTTAATATGTTCTTTTGCTAACCTTTTTATCGTTTCCTAGGACTGTGTAAAGCAGCAGCAGGAAAGCAGGTTAATGGAAGAATATAGACTCTAAAGTGTTCTAAAAGATGTGGACTTCGGTCCCAGCGGAGACCGACACTCCTGCCTACTTACTGTAGCTAGAATGTATTGATTTTCTTCTCCCCCATTTTTAGCTGCACCGCTGAATTAGATATTGTGAAGCATCTTTCCCTGTGAAAGAGGAAAAACTGTCATGAACTTTTTCACCCTAACTGTACGGCATTTCAAGCTGAACCAGACTGAATGGAAAAAGGCTACAAGGACTCCCAAAAACCTAGTAACTGATCTCTCCACTCTCATTTCTCCCCAGCTGATGGGTGCCCTAGCAGCCTTGAGAAAGTATGATAGATGATCATAACAAAGACATTTTTAAATCTTTTTGGTTTTTTGAAAAAAAAAATAACAACCGGGGGGTGAAAAGAATCCCTGCAAACAATGCATTCCTGTGGCACGATCTCCTAAGGTTAGCAAAGTGGTCTTGTTCAAGTTTTCAGCAAGATGCTCAGCTACTGTTATAATTGGCTGATGAGTAGGTTTGGACCTAACTAGAATGCCAGTGTTCGATTTCGCGGTGTCCTCTGTGAAGATATGTCACCATTTACCCTGGCTTTAGTGACAATTTTCTAAAAAGGAAACTCGTGGGAAATCATTATGCTGTTTATATGTCTCCCTTGTTGGAGAGCATTATCCTGTGATATTTTAGCACTGTTTTCCACAGCATGATGGCATCTAGCTAAGGTTAAGGCAGAACAAGTCCCTTTGCAATTTTGCGACTATATTTTACTGGCTGAAGGAGAAAAGATAACCGACAATTAAGTATTTCGGGTGTCACTGAAAGAACATGTGCAACTAATCAATGACATCCTTGGGGAGCATGATTTTATGAAACTGATAAGGTAGAAAAATTGGGATTTTAGCGATTTGTGTTACATAACAATAATTGCACCCTTTCAATGAAAAAGACATTTCTGCTGATGTAAACATCAGGCTTTCCCTTGTGGCTTCTTTTTTTCTGAAGCATGCAGTAGTTCATTAAAGTGTGACAGTAACGGATAAACACCCTTTACGATTTTTTAAGAAAATATGGTGCTTATGCTCTTAGTTCAGCTGAAATCAATGAGTTTGAAAAATGTATTTCTGGAGCCACTTCCCAAATCACTTGCCAGGGGCTGCATTAGGTGTTTTAGTTCTTTTTTATTTTAGGAAGGAAATATGCCTGCTGTTCTTTTTTTTCTTAAATTAGCCTATTTAACACTCCGGGGACCCACATATGAAACTCATTACTATGATCTTGGTAGAATTCAGATGCACTGGAAAACCATATTACTAACAGACTAATTGTGAGTTTTCGTTTCTTTGAAAATATATCTTCTAAGTTCGTTGCTGCAGAACGTTGGAATCAGTAGTCTCATTTTCCAGGCAGTGTCATTTATTCACTTGAACAAAGACTCTGTTTGAGTGCGCTGCATCACATAGTGATGTGGCTCAGAGACTCACCTGCTGGTCCATTTACTGATAAGCTACTGTTTAGAACTGGAGTTTGCAATAGAGGCTTTTCTGATCTTTTTAGCCAGAAGTCAAAAATCTGTGGTGATCGACTTTGTTCTGGGTAAGTTACACCAATTATTATTGCTTTTCTTTATAATTTAAGGGTACTTATTGAACGAAAAAATATAAACTAGGAAAATGCTTGTTTGTTCCCTAACATTCACTTTGAGCCACTTTGAATTAGAGGTAGGAAATGCAGTTAGATATACACAACTAATGCATTTATTTGCTTTCCTCACATTTTTTCTCTTTTCAATCAACACACTACAACATGAAGGAAAGGCTGGATTATCTGCTGGCCCTTTTCCATTGAAACCAATGCAAGTGAATAACCTGACCCTATGCTAAAATAATTAATCTGTGGAATCATTTATTTATTTATTATTCCTGAAAATACACTCCACATTATGCCAGTGGGAAGACTTTTCAATGCTCTATGCAATGACACCTCCCTTCATGAAATTCTGGAAATGACAGGATTCCACATTAGGAGAGACAGGGTGCAAAATACAGCGTGTGTGCAAAATTGTTTTTGCCTTTTTTTTTTTTTTCCAAGATGATAGATCACCACATAAAGATATCACCACATAAAGAAATTAACAAGCTATTTAGGACCCTGAAATAGATGCTATTTATATAGTGACGTGTCCTTCTGTTCTTCCCCCACAATCACCATTCTGCTCACCAGCCTCAGCCAGCAGATCAGCTTTTGGAAGAAGCTGTCAAGAAGTATGAGATTGAATGGAAGTATGGGATGCCCTTAAGCATCTCTGAACAATTTTTTTTGATGGTTCTCCATTGGATGTTATTAGCAAGGTGGTTTTATTTGAGCAAATCATTCACATTATTATGCAATTCACGCACCCTCTGAATATGCATGCCCCTCCACCCCTCCTTTTATGCATATCTTGGATGCCGAGCAAGATGAATTTTGCAGCAGTGGAGTGCTGATTTTACAGAATGCAGATGCGGTGGCATGTAGCGCAGCATCCTCAGATAGGGGTGAACTGAAAGGCTTAACACTTGCCACATCTCAGACCTCCTCGTTTCCTCTGCAGAAGGTGACGTAGCCATTAAAATCCACAGTAGAGCAGTTCAGAAGCTGTGCTCTTTTGCCTGTTCTTCCTTTTTTCAACTTGTTAGTGGTGACCTCAGCTGTTGTTGAAGAAATATCGAACCTGAATTCAGTGTTGGGTATATAACATTATAACATAAGAAAAAACCAATTCCATATGTCTTTGTTTTAAAATGTATTTCTCTCTTTAAATCTGCCAATATTTTAGGTAATTGTCACACTAGCTGGGGCAAAACACAACTAATTTCACAATTAAACAAGGTGTTTGCTATTGAACCTTGGAGCTGGACTGAGCAGGTTGGACTAGAGGACCTGTAGAGGTCTCTTTCAACCTTTTTTTTTTTTTTTTTTTTTTTTTGCAATTCTTTATTCTTCCTGCATTACTGCATCTTCTTAGTGATACTATGCTGTGAAAGAACATGCATGCAGGAATAAGCTATCTCCTGAATGTAAGAGGATCCAATGCTATTCATAGCTTTACTTGGGCAAGCAGTTTTGTTTAAGCAGTTACTTATGAATTTAGTCCCATGCATCCATACGTTCAGTCCAAGATCAGGCCTTTATGAAGAAAAGTTATTTAGAGAGGAGCTTGTGGCTTTCATTTGCATGTAAAGTACTGTACCAAAACAGCTCCATAGATCTGTGTGTGCTATCAAACTGTATGGCAGCAGAGTAAATAGAGGCTGAATCTTTCAGGTGAGTCACTGGTTGAATTTATGAACTGTTTTGTCTGTCTTATGTGAAAATTAAAGATTATCAGTATTTTGGGGGCAGCTTCTGTAAAACTGTCAGACATCTATCCTTTTCTTTAAAAGTCATCCTTTCATGACAAATGTGTGCCTAACCATCTCATTTACTTATAAAATCATCTTGTTCATGAAGAAAAGAGAAGAGAATGGAGTCCAGACATTATGTTATTGCTGTGGAAGAGTGTGGCCTGGAGAGCAGCTTTTTCAGAGCTTTGTCATTCAGGATCATAGTGCAGGTGTAGCAAGTACATTGTCAAGCCAAGCCAAGCAAACAGTTTACCTTGTTAGCATTTACAAAGGCGTGTGTTAATAAAATTGTACAAACTGGACACTTCCTTTTTACCCTCATGTGTCGGACAGGAGTATTCTGGGAAGTGTATGTGAAAACACTGAGCTGTAGCTGCTTTACTTTGTTTTACATAAGCAGAATTTTATCCAGAAGTGGGTGCGCCAGTGTCTTAGTTTCAGAATCAGACATCTCTGCTTGAGATGTGTCTCATCACTGGTGATGGCAGGTGAAAATACTCCCATACTCTAAGAATGTAGTAGCATGAGCTGAATGTTTTGGTAATTCATTAAGAACTGAGGTTTCCCAGTTGAAATGAAGCATTCTGTAGTAAGCGAAAAAGATGGAAGAAGAACTGAACACTGTTGCAAGTGAGAAGTATTCTGGTATCTTGAATAGAAGTGTGTGATATGTAAAATATGAAAAAGAAAAAAAAAAGATTATTGTCCTTTTTTTCTTGTTACAGACAGTCATTTTAGAAAATGAAGAACTCCCTAAAATATTTCTTGATTTCCTGAATGTTCGCCATGTACCTACCCTGCCAAAAGCAGAAAGCTGTGGGTAAGCTCTCATTTACTGAAAAATATATTGGGGCCAAAAGGCCCATTTCCATTTAGTGTTGATGCAATTGCATTGACTTAAAATGGTCTTGCTGCCAACGCTTACACGGTAAAATAAATGGGCATTAGGTTCGTGTTAAGTATGTTTATATATCCTCAAAAGGTGGTAAAATAAATTCAGTCTGTTCACAGGCAGAAGTGAGTTTTAATGTAATATTCTTGGAAAGCAAAGGAGAGGTTAGATGAGAAAAATATGATTTTCTTGTAGATCTTGGAATATCTATTGAAAGGAATTTCATAGATTCATAAACACTCACTACAATTACGGAGAAAGCATTTGTGTGTGTGTGTGTATTTTCTGATTATTAGTATTTGGATGAGATAGCAATTCTGCAAATATCTTTATGACCCTCTCTGTATGTTTGGAAATGCCATCTTTCATCTCTTTGGTGGTACCTACCTGTCCTCTGGAGGAGGATTCTTCATCAGGGCAGAAGAAAGAGTCTGAGCATGGTTATCATTAGTGCAGGATAACAGAAATTCCCAAAATAGTGTAACCGGAAACTCTTATATTCTGCAGGTGTAGCATTTGTGGGGAGAACAATCTCTTTTTACTAGACAACCTGACATAGTTGGCAGGTCCAGTGGTATTGTCAAGACTTTCTCCCGGAGAGCGATGTGGCCCTTTCCTGTTTTCAGGGAGTTTCTGTGCACTGCCAGCAGTGAGTTCACACTCAGGAGGAGACCTGAAGAAACTAGAAATGATCAAGACCCTCAGCTTGGGGCTGTCTTGGGCCTGGAGTGGTGCCCGGAGTCATTCAGAGATCCCCCCTCCAATCTGCCTGTTGTGGCCATGAGAGCGGGAGCATTGTCAGGACATGGGCATTGGTGAGCGCTGCTGCCAGGCTGCAAGCTGCGTGGACAGCTGGGAACGTGTTGGGAGGAAGATCTGGGGTTTTCCCACATGGACGTAAATCTGCACCTGCAGATTTACCTGAAAGCAGTAGGATGCAAAGGAAATTCAGGGCAGCTTTAAGTCATTTTCTACCTCCTCAAATGGGCAGCCTCGCAAACGGTAATTTAGATCGGCATCACAGGCCATGATTTTTCCCACTGACTCTTTGCATTGTTTCAAAAGAGGGTTGTAAGATCAAGTTTGGAAACTACTGTTCACTTTCAGTATATCTTGTGTTAAAAGAGCTGCAGGAATTATTCTGCTTTTAACACACAATGGTTTTGAGAGTGTTCATTATCAGCAGTAAATATACTCCATATGCAGTCTCTGTAACACTGCCAGTCATGCCGCTCTCAGAAATTGAATGGATTTACAAATGTTGAGCCCTTACTACTAAAAAAAAAAAAAAACACAAATTTAAACATTGAGTTTTTAGTGATCTAGGGACAAGCTAGCAGACTTGTAGCTTTACCTTGTAGTTAACGATGTCAGCCAAGATTTTCTGTGGAATTGTATCTTATCACTGGATATAAAGATAGGTATGTATACACATGAATTTATTACAGTTAAATGAATTGATGAATGAATGAATCTCACTTTTGAATAGTTGCTGCAAAATGATAAGGTCTCCCACATTCATATAATCGTGTTGCATTATGCAGCCACTGAAGAGAAAAAAAAGATGCTCCCTTTGCTGGTGGTGAAATGACTTTTCTTACTTTTTTTTTCTTGTGGAGTTAATTTTATTGTAATCAAAGTTTCCTCTCACTTTAATTGCAGC